ATTATAAATTGACTACCCATTTAATATGTCTTTCTAAATTTTTCCAGTGACACAAGATGACAGCAACAATAGTTGTGGAATTGTGAAATATAATGTGTTCACGATATTTTTTCTTTATTTAACTTAATCATTTAAAGTATTTTCAGATTCATGTTGCTGCTACTGTTACTTATGAACTAAGTTGATGGCGGGAAAAAGGGGTGAAGTGGGTGAGGACAATTTTACCCTTGTTTATGGAAAGAAAAAGGTATTTTTGTATTTAATTAACGGATGACGGAATATGGACGGAAGGACGTCCAGCGCAAAGAAAGGTTGAAATGAGGGCAAAAATGCCAAAAAATGAAAGGTAGGGACGTTTTCCACAATAGACTTAAAAGGTAGGGATGTTTTGTGCCAATTACCCTTTAATTAACGGAAAAACTGACGGAATATGGACGGAAGGACGTCCAGCGCAAAGAAAGGTTGAAATGAGGGCAAAAATGCCAAAAAATGAAAGGTATGGGCGTTTTTCACAATAGACTTGAAAGGTAGGGACGTTTTGTGCCAATTACCCATTAAATTTTTAAAGACAGATAATGACCGAGAGTTTTATAACGCTGAGTTTGACAGTATGTGTAAAGAAAATGGAATAACAAGATATAAAACGGTTCCTTATACTCCTCAGCAAAGCAGGGTAACGGAAAGGATGAATAGAGCCATACTTGATAAAGTGCGTTGCATGGTATCCCAAAGTCGTTTTGGGTTGAAGCTGTTATGTCTGTTTGTTATTTGATTAACTTAACTCCATCCGCTGCATTAAATGGTGATACTCCGCATAAGAGGTGGTCTGGTAAATTCAGTGATTACTCTATGCTTAGAACTTTTTGCTATGCTACTTTTTATCATTCTAGTGAGGGAAAGCTCGAACCTAGAGCTAGAATGTGTGTCTTTCTAGGATATCCAGAGGGTGTTAAGGGTTATAGGTTATGTGATAGAAGCCAAAAAGGAGTTAAGATCATCGTGAGTAGAGATGTCAAATTTAACGAGGGTGAGATGCCTTGTTTTAAAGGCGAAATCAAACCTGTGAGTAAAACTGAACCATGTGAAGAGAGAGATCGATTTAAGGTGGAGTTAAGAAAGCTTAGCACATCCGTCCCTACCAATCCTAACAAGGTGGAGACTCAGGTTCAGGAACCTGAGGTGGAGAATAGAAATGAAGTAGTGATAGAAAAGCACACCAAGGAAGAAAATCCTTTGGTTAATTACAACTTAGTTAGAGATAGAGAGATAAGACAAACGAGAGAACCTAGGAGTTTCGGATATGAATCGGAATTAGCTTTTACCCATGTTAGTTATGAAAAACTAGTTGATAGAGAGCTAAAAACTTTTGAAGAGGCGATGAATAATAATCAATCTAAGGAGTGACTTAAGGTGATGAAAGAAGAGATGAGTTCTCTAGAAGAATCAGACTTGGGTGCTAGTACCTAGACCTAAGAATAAATTGATCATCGACTGCAAATGGGTCTTTAAGGTTAAGGAAGGTAACAGTAGCTCGGAACCCTTAAAATTTAAGATTTGGTTAGTGGCTAAGGGCTACACATAGAAGGAGGTCGTTGATTATAATGAGATTTTCTTATCAGTTGTTAAGTACACTACTATTAGGGTAATGCTTACATTGATTGCGCATTTTGACTGAAAATTTGAATAACTTGATGTAAAAACTATTTTTTTACATGGTGAGCTTGACGAACAAATCTTTATGAATGAACTGAAAGGTTTTAAGGACAAGCTAAAACCTGATCATGTGTGTTTTCTAAAAAGATCTCTGTATGGTTTGAAACAGTCACTTAGACAGTAGTACAAGAGATTTGATTCCTTTATACTCACTATAGGGTTTCAAAGAAGTAAATTTGATTACTGTTTGTATTTTCAATACAATGAAATTGATAATAATTATTTGTTTTTTTTTGCTCTATGTAGACGACATGTTTTTGATTGGTTCATCACCTAAGTGGATAAACAATATAAAAGCAAAGTTAAGTGGTGAATTTGATATGAAAGACCTAGATAAGGCTAAGAGAATTCTAGGTATGGAAATCGAAAAGAGATAGGTCAAATTTTGTCTCTCTCTCTCTCTCTCTCTCTTTGCGCATCAGTCTCCATATATATCTAAGGTGTTGAATAAATTTAATATGAATGATTGCAAACCTGTCACGTTACCTCTTACTAATCACTTTGTTTTATCTAAAGAACAAGCTCCTTGCAATGAGCATGAATTAGAATACATGAGTAGAATTCTGTATTCTAATGGGATTGATTCCATAATGTATTTGATAATTTGCACTAGACCGAATTTAGGTTTTGCTAGGAGTATCCTCAGTAGGTACATGTCTAATCTAGGCCCAGAACATTGAGAAGCCTTAAAGTGGCTATTAAGATACTTGAAGGGTACTGGTGATGTAGGTCTAAAGTCTAGTGTTAGTAAAAAAGGCGTGATATTGAAGAGTTTTGTAGATACTAACTATGTGGGAGATAGGGATGGTAGGAAATCAACCTCCTCTTACTTGTTTCGACACATTGTTGCACTATCAACAACAGAGTCAGAATATATTGCTACCATTGAAGCAATTAAAGAGGCTTTATGGCTTAGAGGTTTACTTCATGAACTATGTGTCTTGAATGATTTTGTGATAGCATATTCTGATAGTCACTCGTCTATACATTTATGCAAGAACCCTATTTTTCACTAACGCACTAAACACATTGATGTTAAACTACTCTTCATTAGAGATATAGTATCTCAAGAGGTGGTAAGACTTGAAAAGATCTACACACAATACAACCCTTCGGATATGGGTACGAAGGTGCTACCACAGGTAAAGTTTAGAAGTTGCAAGAATCTTCTAAACATTGGAACATGTAAATGATTTCCAATTTTATTGATTTTCTATTAGAGGTTTCACTAACGGAAGTTTTTTCTTCTTTGCGGGTCTTTTGACACCAAGGTGGAGGTTGTTGGACATATTGTTGTCAAACAACCTTTTGGGCGATGATGTAAACCCGTTGTAATTATCAGTTGGCATTTGTAATATGACCGTGCGATGTATCAATACCAAAATTGGAACGACCCGACCCAAAAAGTAATTGGACCATTTGAAGTAATCAATTATGTTGTGTTGCTGGTGGACTAATTTTCTATCTACTTGGATGGCTAGTAACGCCTGAGACCCATTCTATGCTCCACTTAATTGCTATTGGGTCATGACCCATTATCTAGACCTAATTACCTTATTTGGGCATTTGGTCCACCTATATTTATTTGTGCTTCACACACCTCCAAAAGAGTCAAAAGACTTGGTGTTCCCTCTTGGACTCTGCGTGTTCTTTTTCAGCCGAATCCTTCTGCCTTTCTGCCCGTCTTTTTGTGGTGACTTTTTTGGTGATTTTATTCCTCCTTTGTGGTGGTCTTTAAGTGGGATTTGAAAATCGGAGTTACTACATGTCTAACAGTTTTGGGTACCATAGAAAGTTTAATCTCCATTTTTTCTCTGTTCCTTATTGGCCTCGAGCTCGATCCAAGATTTCTTAAATGGACTGGGAGAAAAGCATTAGGTATTGCCATTCCAGGAATCAGTCCTCCAATTGCTCTTGGATTAGGGACATCATGTGTACTCCGCTGAGCTATTTCCCAAGGCGGGAGCCAAGGTCCATTTTTACTCTTCATGGGAGTCTATCTGAGTAGATATAAAAGACAGTTATAGCCCCGAAGTCGGATCAGAAGACGAATAAACAACACCGCGGAAACTATCAATTTGGTTCGGACACAATCATTGCAATCTATTTCTTGTTGGAAGAATGCATGACGGACAACTGGTTACAACTCTTAATAATAACAGCGAATATCCTAAATTGGGACCAGTCGGAATCTACAGTCTGATGACATGTTCAGTATATTAGAATACTGAAATTGATATTCTGCCCCCAATGGGTAAGATAAAAACTTCCCACTGTCGATGTTCAATGAGTTGGAGAGAACCACAAGGTTTTTTTATCAGGTTGAAAAGTTTTTATCCTACTCACATTTGGTGAAGAAATCAATTGGAGGATTCATTGAGCATGGCCGAATTAAATTCTTACTTCAGTTAAGTCTAAAGACAAATGTTCATTCGCACACACTCCATACCTTTTTCTCCCGGAATCCTCTGATTGAGTCGATCCACTTAACTTTACATTGAGAATTTGGCACAAGTTTTCGTTCATCCGTAAAATGTGAGATACAAGACAATTTTGGTTGTTGGGTCAAGGTGGTGGGTTGTTCAGCTAATCAGCTTCCACGCTGGAGGCCAACCACCCTTTGAAAAAACTGAATACCTTAAGTTGAATATGATTTTGACATTAATTACGAACAAGATTTGTCTGACTATTCTGGCAAAAAAGTTTGAACAACTCTGGTAAATGCAAAATTAAAGTTCTGCTATTAAATGCCTTGGTAGACTTTGGCATTGTAGGCTGTAATGAATTTATTCAAGAAAGGAGGATTAATATATATAATCTGATTTTAACACTATAAACAAGAATTCTGGCAGAAAAGATAAAGAGGATAAGCCAAGTTATGAGTTGGGATCAAATTTTTAAAGATTATTCATTGGCAATATTGGATATGTCTCGGGGGTTGGTGTCCTCTTTCTTCTTCGTGGCAGGCACGGGTCATATCGAGTCTATTGAAGATTTGTCTCATCTTTAAAAACTTAAACTTTTAAACGATTAATTCAACTTAGTATTATAGGCAAGCAAGATTTGGGTTCAAATTTACCAGTTATAAATATCGTAGTTTAAACTTTTAGATGAGATCGTTTGAGAATAATATTTTAAAAGAGCAAATAGTTTATTTTCAAAGAATAATTTGTGGACTACCTAAAAAGCAACATAATAGAAGTAACAATAGTTGGCAATGTTGAAAAGTCATCAACTTTATACTTTTATCACCAAACTCAGATTCCACGAGGCACTATAAAATGAGCCCACACGAATCAGCTATTATCACTTAACACCGCACAAAAATGGCTGCTAAAACACAAACCACAGCCCCTTTCGTCTGCCTCCTCATCTGCATCTGCATCTGCATCTCCACCACCACCTCCACCTCCACCTACGGCAGCAAAACCAGGCCACGCCGCCCGTGCAAAGAGCTCGTTTTCTACTTCCACGACATCCTCTACTTAGGATACAATTACCACAATGCCACTGCTACCATAGTAGGCTCTCCTAAATGGGGAAACAAGACTGCCATGGCTAAACCATTCAATTTTGGCGACTTGGTTGTGTTTGATGATCCCATTACGTTAGACAACAATCTGCATTCGCCCCCAGTCGGACGAGCTCAGGGCATGTATCTCTACGATCAATGGAGTATTTATGGTGCATGGCTTGGATTTTCATTTTTGTTCAATTCTACTGACCATGTTGGAACACTAAACTTTGCTGGAGCTGATCCATTGATTAACAAAACTAGGGACATTTCAGTAATTGGTGGAACTGGCGATTTTTTCATGGCTAGAGGGATTGCCACTGTGTCGACCGATGCATTTGAAGGAGATGTTTATTTCAGGCTTCGTGTGGATATTAAATTGTATGAATGTTGGTAAATTTAGCTAATTTTTCATGGCTTTTTAAATCTGATTTTGCGCGGATTTGACGAATAATTTCTTCTGTGTGCTTTGTTTTTGGAACAACCTGCGGTGATTTTATCAATTAAACTGTAATTGTTACATGTTTAAGATTTTATTCCTTAAGCATGGTCATAGACCTTTCTGTTTCTATTTGAATTTGGTTTCCTACTCATATGACATGATTAACAGCAAAGTCTAGTTGTCTAAAAGTTTAAACTTTTGACACGTCCTCTCATATACGTATAGAATTAACTTTTGAATTAAAGACTTAATAAGTATACAATTTTTATGGACGAGTAGTGACATAAGTAATCTCCCAACTTCTTCGTGTTCGATCCATGTTCGAAGTACATTTATACAAGTAAGAATCTCCTTATTTACACAATCTCTTCTTAGGATTATCTTTATTTTCCCTCTGACGATTTTAAAACCAATAAAGTCAGAAGACATTGGGGGCCTAGATAATGAGAGTTAAATTACACTTTATTCTCCACTAGTGGTGAAATTGAAGTATGGTCCATATTCCACCCTGCCACCGCTACCTAGTAATAATTTTATTAAAGTAAAGTCTTGCCAAGTCAATGATTTGTATTCAAACATCGTTTGGAGGGATAAAATGAAATTGAAAAAAAAAGAAAAAAGAAGCACTTGAGCTCCATTAAAAATAAATTTTGGAGAAAATGTATTTTGAAATGGTGTTTTGGAGAATATGTGGTTAAAAAATAATGAAAATTTTTGAATTTACGTGTAATATTATTTTATTGCATTTTTGAAATAGTGGAACCCAAATAAGGGCTCATAGTCATTTTAATAATTGAGGACAAAATGAAAATAATTAATATATTGAAATTTATTTAAGAAAAGGATAACATATGAGTAAACGTTTATAACGACCTTTATTACGAATTCATATCTTACAAAACAAGTTGCCAAGTTGAATTGGTGCATTTAGAATTTAAATAAGAATACTTTTCCACATGGCATTATTGGTCTATTGGATTCGACTTGAGGTGTAGATGTAACAAATTAATATGGCATGTTATCAAGTATAAACAAAATTTCAAAATAATGATCAACACCAACCTCACCCAACCTTCAATAAGTCAATTTTATGGAACACAAAATTTAAATAAATCAAGTGTAATAATATTATTTGGATGGTCGAGCATACTAATAATGCAATAATTTGAATTGGCAGGTTTAGAAATAAGGGTCCGTTTGATTGCAAAAATGAAATTGAATTTAACTGAAAACGAATTTTAGAGAATTGAATTGTGTAAGAATTATTTTCCTGGAAATTGTAAATTAATTATGTTTGATTGGTATAATTTTTCACATGAAAAATGTTGAAATAAAATTATTTTTTGGGATTCGTTTAGTTTTGTTTTGCATGAAAATTGTCAATTAAAGGGATATATTTTATTGATATTGGGGATGAAATTTCTTTCCATTGCAAAAAATAAAAATTCAAGAAAATCATCTATCTTTTGGTATTCGTTTGGTTTTGTTTTACATGAAAATTGTCAATTAAAGGGAAATATTTTTTTAAAATTCGAATTCCATGAAAACATGGAAAGTTGCTAATTCCCTAAAAAAATAAGAAAGCAAATTCGTTGAGGAAAAAAAAACTATCAAATACCCTAAAAGATAAAAAATAAAATTAATTTTCCATTTTTCATGAAAAATTTTGTACAATTAAACAGCCTAAAGTAATCAAAATTTTAAAAAGTAAAGTGGCCCCCCAACATACAATAGCAGACAAAAGTACTGACGTCTAGTCCATGACACATTATAAAAATTATGCACGCGCCAACTTTTAATGGAACAATAATTTCTGTAGGTTCTGCTGTTGAGCTCCTATTAAGTACTAAAATTCATATCTTAATTTGAGTCGAAGCATATATTTTATGAAATCCAAATTCACAACCTTTCAACCATATATTATCATCTTTTATCAAAATTTACTAAAAATTTGATTTAATCCTCATTAAACATGGGCAAATTGTAATTTTCTTATAATTGAGGACGCATTTAACATTAAACCTTGTTCTCTTATCTTCAAATCCAACTGCATTTAATTCTTTGGGGTCAAGAAGTTGTTAAAAGAAAGATTTGCTTATATTACAGGCATGGATGATGAACAGGTTCTCACCAAGGAAGAACTTCTCGGCCCAGAGTTCAATTCTTGAAAGCAAAAAGCATGTAAAAATCAAAGGTGCAGTTGGAGATAATCTTACAGTATGTTTGGTGAAATCGAATGGACAAAACTATATTGTTGTCAACCAAGTTATACATAAATATTGTACAAGTAGCTTTATTGTTTCTCTTTAAAGTTACTTAACAATCCATAGAATGGAAGAGAAAAGTATATCTGTATATGGGTCGTTTCATAACATTTCTAAGCATTACTATGTAAAAGCATTAAATCATGATATGGGTAATCTATATGAAAGATCAAGTCGGCTCGGCCCGTTTGACATCCCTAAGTATATGGGTCGTTTCATAACATTTCTAAGCATTACTATGTAAAAGCATTAAATCATGATATGGGTAATCTATATGAATTATCAACATATATTGACTTCCATCATGATTGTTGATAGTAATATTGTCAGCAACTACTAAAGGAATCACAGTCTATGATCATTTACTTCATTAATATTTTTTTCTCAGTTTTGAAAAGATTCCCTTGTCAACTTTACCCAAGGTATCTATTAGTCACATTTATCTTTGATTACATTCTAGTTTACAATACTTGCACATTTCTATCTATATAACCAGTTATCTTCTAATTGAATTTACACAAATTTATCTAGCTAGTGGACATCTTAAAACGACAAACAGAACAATAGTGGCCATATTTTATGTGCTTTCTATGAAACACATATGAGCATGACATGCTTATTGTTGGATCCCTAGGAAAACTCAGAGACAAATCATGCAACTTTTGATAACACTAATCATACATGTTTCTTTTGTTACATTCATATAATTAAAATTACATTTATTATTAATATGTTGAGATGGTTTCATTAGATCTTTAGCTCATCTCTCACACATATTATGATTTGATGATCACAAATGCATAAGAAACACACATTTTGATCCATCGTTAACTCTTTTCCATTGGTTATATCCAGAAGTTACCAATGCTAAATAGTTGGACGAATTCCCATCATTTCAGAAAAGATAACAATAAAAACAATATGCCCTATTGTTATAGGTAAATACTCTAGCCAAGGAAATTGGTTGAACCATTTTGCCTGAAGGCGATGAGACTGAGATTTTCCTTGTGTCTTTGGATACTCAACAAGTTTTGGTTGATAAGGCCTAGCCTTTAGACATGCCATTCTAATCTCCTCTTGCAGATGAAAAGGCAATTCAAGTATTTGTTTTCTTTTTCCTGATTCCCGTTCAATGCTAATATTTGAGGATGAATGTCGTTTGATTTTTGGTGAAAATAAATGCTGATCTTCAGTTAGTCCATAAGAAGTCGTACTTTTTGTAGGTCAATCTACCCTTTGGAAGAAGGAAAACAAGTTCTTATTTTTCTTAAGAGGTGGCTGACCTTCCATTTTCAATTTCTTAAAATCACAACAAAATAATAATAATAATAATAATAATAATAATCAATCAATGATATTACTCTAGCAACAATCAAAATATAATTTATTATGCCGACAAAGCTACAAAAATAATTCACTAGGCTGACAAGGCAATAACAACAATCATTAAGCCGACAAATCAACATAAACAAATAGGCGACAACATTCAATTCATAACTTTGCTAGCAAGGCAATAAATAGGGAGATGGAGACATTTACTTACTAGGGTGTATTGAACCTTTTGCTTTTCCTATGTGTCCCTGGAATTAAGCCTATTGACAATGAAGAAGACTTTCCCATTAGAATTTAGAATGAACTTTTAGTGCACTCTTTTAATTCATATTGTAACTTAAGAAAAATAAGATCATCAAATGGAAGTATATAAAATGATAAAAATTATTGCAATTATCTCCACGTAATAGAAAACGAACATTTATAATATTTTTTCATATTTGAAAATTTTAAATTAAACTTGAAGTATCATTTGAATTGTTTTGCAATAAAGAACTTTATTGAACAATTTCAGTCTTTTAATTCGACATCGTTTGGCCACTCAACTTCTGAAGCCCAATAAAATATAAATATAATAATAGCAAATTGTTGTAAATGGAAAGTTCATTAAATTTTATTGGTGAATGATATTTGTACCCCTGCAGCCCTAGAAATTATTACCATTGTATCCATGATTCTTACCTATAAATATAGGGCTTTGGTTTTCAATAATATACACAAAAAGTTTATTGAGTTTTCTCTATTCTCTTTTCCTCTCATTTTATAACACGTTATCAGCACAAAACTCTTAAAAGGTAGTACTTTTTTTTTCATAATCATCTATCACGTATATCAAAATTAATTTGATAATACGTGAATTTTACATATACATATGTTGAGTCTGCAATACGTGATCTCATCTTTCTCGATCATTATGTTTTCTTTGTACCTCTTTTTGAATTAATTAATATTTTTTTCCTTTACATCAATCCAGGTGCATTTTTATGGAGATATATTTATGTTAAATCAATTGATATACATTAATTCATGTTCCTATACCCTCCTTATATTTAAATTAACCCTTTACGTTTTACACATGCTTATAATTTTTTTTTGGTTTAATTGGTCAATGCTTTTTGTAAACAAGCTTTAATTCCAGATCTCTATTTTGGATGATTCCATATATATATAATATACAATTAACAAACAACTGTACTCAACTCATCTTTTCTCTCAAATCCATTGGTTTCTACAAATTTCATGCCTTAATTGGCTAATACTAATTCAATTCTTTTAATTGCACATAATTAGAATTTCCTGCCATAATATGTGAATAGATTTCTACATGTCACCAATTTTTTTTGTGTTTCGCTCGACTCATGTTATTAATTCAAAATAATAATTTACATGTGTTTGTATATTAATTAATGGTGAGCAATTGGATGTATTATCATTTTTTTCATGTTTAGTTATGAAACATTACATTAAATTTATTTTTAATTGTTGTTGCTCCTGAAGTAGCACAAACATTATAATTAATATTCCAGAAAAATATTAATC